TCTGCTAAACGCATTCGATACCACATATTTCCATTTCAGATAAAAAAAATACTAGTATATCTTGTGCCCGCCCTTGCGCTTTCTTGCGCCTCCCAGGCGAAATGCACCACAAAATGGCAACAGCATAATCCAATGATATGTTTGTATAAAATTTTCCTACGGAGGTATTGATTGATCGTTTTTTATATGTAATTGTATAATTAATTAAAATTACAATATATTTTTTTGCGCCATTTATGTTCGTCTTTGTGTCCGCTTGCGCGGACCTCGTGTATTGAAATCTCTATTCTGGGATTCATGGTTGCTATATCGGATACTATATCTCATCTAAGCTAAATTGAAAGGCCGGGTTTCAGAGCAACCTCAAAATACTCAGTGAATTGTCTTGATATTTGTTACAATATGATTTTTCGCTCATTTCTTGTCCCTCTGCCATTTTTCGCGAATATCAGCCGCTGTGAAGGTATTCATTGCATAAGATGCTCCTTCCGCAGACTCCGTCGCCATGATCACATCACTATCACATACTATCACCAAGATCTGGCACTGCAAAAAACAAATCGGTGTTCATCTCATTCTGGCTTTTTGTTTGATACTATAGTTTTCTTTGTTTTGGTTTGATGCTTATTGTTGATACATATCCTCAAGTTGTCCTGACTCCACTGGGTTTGTCTGAAAATTGGGTACCCTATTTATCCCTATTTTAATCCAATGGTTTATCGATGTTTATCGTGTACCTTTCCCCATTCAAATAAGCATTTTAGGATATTTTAGGTGTCCCCCACTGGACAAACCTGACATATCCTGACATCCCGTCCTGAGGAAGATGAAGCTCTGGCAGCTTGTGGCCTAGAAACTTCCCTCGGGGCAGGGCAAAAGCAACAAAAAAAGCTTCACCAATGGGTGCAGCAAAAGTAATAGAGGTAATAGGAAACCAATTAAACACACGCATTCTGAATCGTTGGGAATACAGTGATGGGTTGTAGTAGTATGTGTATCCATGTGTATCCTGTTACTTGGTGTATGTACTGTGATTGACTGATTGACCTTCTTTGAGTTCAGGACCCCCAGGTCTGGAAGGGATCCGTGCGTTGCCTGACCATTGAGCAGTTTGCATTTTTGGGACACCTTGAATCGGCCCTCCGACTTAGTGGCAGAAGAGTATGCTGCACTTGCTGTGCAATAGTCAGGAGTGATAATCGTGCTATGGCAATGGCCATTCCCTGTACATCGTAGGAAAACAAAACCAGTTCTGACCGTGACCGGTGAAATGTTGTGACATGTTGTGGCACATTTGGTGATCAACCATTTGTTCTCATGGCTTGTATGTGAAGCCTCTTTTCTGCTGGCTCTTCTTTTCCTGACCTGGCAGAAACACATGGAATTTGTGTTTGCGTGTCATGGCTGCAAATTAATATATTCCGAGTGATTGCTAATGTGACTTGAAACCCTTCAGAAAAGAGAAACTATGCACCAACTCTGACAAGTTCGGCAGAGTCCAGCAATTCTCGTCTTCACTATCATCTCAGATGCTTTCAGTTTGGCTGAAGATACGATATCCGCGATATCCCATCCTTCAACCCATTTTCTAGCTGGGCTCAAATGGTTCAATTGAAAATGATGGTAACCCCAGGTAACCCTATGGAAAGTTGATAAATCATGATGAATACCCAGATATACCCAGTTTCAATGGTAAAGCCCATCTCGAATTCATCCCGGTCCCCAGCGTGTCTAGCGCCGAAGTTTTCGCCGGCGTCGCTTCTTTTCGAACTCCGCATTCTCCGCTGCCTCTGCTGCTTTGATCGCCGCAACTTGGGCATCAGCTTCTTCCATGAGCCACCTCGAAGCGCCAAAATCAGCATCCAATATGATCCAAAAGCATGCAACACGTATAAATATATATATATATTGTATTATAAATTATATCAGAAATGATATGATAATTGATTAATTTTATAAGTTGTATTGTAAATTAAATTGAATTAAATTACATGATATTATATTATAGTTTATTATATATATATTGTATTATATTATATATAATGTGATATTCTACTATTATATTAATATATTATATTATACTATATTGTATCATATTGTACTATAGTATATTATATGATATATTATACTATAGTATATTATATCATATTATACTATACTATATCAATATTATATATAATATAATATTATATTATATTATATTATAATATTATATATATTATTATATTATTAGATTATTGTGACGAGATCTGCATCTCTTGCCAGTTTGCTACAGTGGCAGCTCAGATTGCCACCGGATGGTTTCCTCTGGATCCTGTCGAGAGGAGCTACATCATGAGCACAGCGGATTCTCTGACAGCATGCTTGTTGGCCACGAACAATTCAATGATCTTGGCGATGCAAGCTCACTTCAAAATCAAAACAATCAACTTGCACTCCACGAATCTCAAACATATGAAACAATGCTAAACAATGCTAAATCATTCTCAACGATACTATTAACCGCATAGTTCTGACATATCTTCTCTGACTCATTGCGAGGACATGGCTCCTCAGTGACTCCCTCTGTATCACGCTGTGCTGCAGGAGCCAGAGGGGAGCTGCACTGCCTTTGGTACAACTCCTGCAAAATCATGTCCCAAAAGTGGTCATGGTCTGCTTATTCTTTGGCAACATTGTATAACATCGTTGTATAATGTTGCACAGACCAACATAGACCGATATCCGGCCGATATCCCCTGGAAATATCTGGAACTTGAAAGTTCCAGCACATCGCAGGTTCCGGATGTATAATCTCCACATGTTTCCACACTTACCCGAACAGTCAGCTTTAATTGATTTTAATTGTCGCCTCCTCTGCTTCGTCAGGAGTGACCTGAGACCCGTGCAAACTTAAAACTAAGGTTGAAACCCAAGGATCTTTTGCAGAAAACGACAATAGTGACAAACAAGGAGGAAAAAATATGGACATTTTATTGAAATTCTTGTAGTAGCGGTCAGTCCCATGAGTTGCTCTTGGACTCTTGGACCGTCTCCAACATGACATGACACGGCTTTTGGTCAAGCACAGTTGAAGTCAACAAAATGAGATTGTGCCAATGTTTCATGTTTCAATCATTCACATGCAGATTTAGAACCATGAAGTCCTCATTTATTCTAGTATTGAAAAGTAACCAGGAATTAAACCAAACCAAAGCAACAAAAATCATTTGAGCTGGTTTCAAGCTTCCGAAAAGAAACAATAATCCCGTGTCCACAATCTAAGCCGATGACGTACTCAAGTGCCTGCAGGATCTGGCTTGCCACATACCAAATTTATGCGCAAAGAGTGTTGGGTCAAAACAGAACAGAATTCGTGCTCTTGGCTGTGTTGGGTCCAGCAAAATGAATGATGGTTTGAAGTAAATGCCTCTCTCAGGTCCAGAGAGAGAAAGAGAGAGACACACACACAGACGGTTCTTGATCCCGATTGATGTGCAGATGATACTCCAAGGGGTACTTGCTCCAAAAGAGAACGTTCAAAACCACATGACGCCTCTGGAAAGAGTAGATTCTCGCGCACCCGTAGTTGTCTTACCTAAAAAACATCGGTGACACACAGATCAGGGCGAACAAATGTGAAAAGACTAAACATCACCTCATGAAGAAAAAACACCCAAAAAAGAGAAGAAACCTTGGGTATCCTTGGGTCCAACATGGTCCAACCCTTTGTCGAATTTCGGTATCTTTCCAGTAAAGTCTCCCGCTTTCCGAAATGTTTCAGGATTCTGTGCATTATCAGGAAAACATGATATGAACAATAACACCAAGAAGGTATATCAGGTTTTGTGCTTGTCCAGTGAGGTTTTAGGGCTATGGACCAAGTTACTCAGCCACTCTGAACAGTCTCTCGCAAGTCAAACCTGTGAAGCCCAGGTGCATCTCGCGAAAGTTCCCACATAAATTGTTTGTCAACCTCTGAACCTCAGCAGAGTCAAAAACTCCAATCTGTTCGCATACAAATGTGAGAGCGAATTTGTGGATGCTCGCAATCCCTGACACTCGGCAGCTCTAGTCTTTTCATGATATATATTATATGACGTCCAAGGCTGGCAAGTCCTCAGTTATTGAAGAAAATCCTATATAGGAGCATCCCAGCGTGACAGAATCAGATTTGCTCCCACCATCATTTTGAGTTTTGACTCACTGGACTTCAGTCCTAATTTATAACGATACGCCCATTGAAACTACATCCAGGTTACTCACTGAAAGTGACTTCTCCACCAGGATACCGGTCTCTTTTTAGTTACACTGCTCACAGGACAACAAGTCCTTGTATATAAAGATGCATCGATTGAAGTTGTGCCTCAGCTACGTGATTTTGTTCTCTTATTGTTGCTTGTTGTTTCTGCTGTTTTGCTGTTCTCCTCTTTGCTTTCACGGGTCTTTCAAGCTACACTGGCTCCATTTTTCCATAGCTAAAGCTAGCAGGGGCCGCCAGTGGCTTGCCGGCAGACCGCGGTCAATCCTTCGAGACCATTTTCTCCTTTAATTTACATTTCCTCCAAAGAGAGACACTAGTAGTCACGAACCCTGCTGTGCGTCACGGGACCAATATTTTAAGTTGTTATAGTTTCTCCTTTAACTTCATTTGCTCCTGTTTTCGGTGGTGTGGGTTCCAACTTGCTCATTCCACTGGGTCCGGTGTATAAGGTACTGGTTAGTAGCTTATCCTTCAGCCAACAGATTCTCCTGTTCTATTCATATTCATTCATGTTCTCTTTTACCAGTTTGTTTCTCCAAAGGCTGATGGAAAGCTGCTGCTGAAGTGTAGTTCGACATGAACTGCATATCGCTGTTGAAAAAACAAATCCAAGGCTGGCAATGGCAACACCAAGTTCCCAACTTGAGACAGTGGTCGTGCCTACCACACCTGGTGCATGTGAAACTGCAATGTTTGTTCTTCATTGGCTCTGCTTGGTCTTCAGCTTGAACATCATACCTCCATAATTAATCATAATTATACTTTAAAAAACATGTCCAACATCTTCCAGCTAAGTGCAGTACTTGCCAGCAGCAAGGCAAGTCGCTGCACCTCGGACTGAAAATATGCTTGTCCTCTGAATCCCTGCAAGATGTCCAATCATTAAAAGTTGTTTTAACACGTTTTAAAATATGTTTAATAAAATTATCTCCAAAAGCACTGAAAATGGAGGGGTTGCTAATAATGAGCACACAGAGTCCAAGCACAATCTCACCAAAAGGCCCCTGCCCATTCATCCGTGTCTGTTTCGGCCTGCTCAAAAGAGCACAAGAAATACAGCAGTTTGGATGCAGCAACTTTGCCACACCTTGACCAGGATAGCTCGCATTGCCGCTTCATTCTGCTTGAGGTTGCTGTCCTGGCTGGTCAGGGGGCATGCCAACTTCCAATTCAGCTGATACCATTCCGCTATATTCCATATACTTCCATGTCATATCGTGTCGTATCATATGCAATGATCCAATAGTCCAATGCAAGTTTGCCGGCTGCTCTTGGTGATCTGTGCATCAATGCATATGGCAATTATATGGGGGTTGTCCAAAATACCTTTTCCCGGACAGCCCTCAATCGCTCAGCCAATCGCGTAGCAACCGCGGTACCACAGTGAGCAATCGCGGAAGGGTTTGTTCTTCGTTGATCAGATCATAGACATAAAATATCATAAAATATAAATTATGTATTATATAATGAATCGTGACAAAAATCTTATGCTAATTCTTTGTAATATCATTACTTTTCTGCTGAATTTGAAACAACTGCTACTGCTACTGCTACTGCTAGTGCTGCTGGTACTATTGTGAGTTTTCCGGACCGTTTCCGGACCGCACAAGCTTATTTTGCTCCCAAATTTGAAATCGAATGCGTTCACGCATGGATCCTTACTCTCATTATAAGACTTGCTACTACTCTTAGTACTACCTACGTATTCTTGGGGGGAGCGATCCAGGGCCCTGCGCGACTTAATGCATACCCCTAAAGGAATGCGTCGAAAACAGAACGGGGCTGGTGATCGGTAAGCAGGATGGTAAGATACCCGAAGCTATTACAATATATATAGTGGCATTATACTGGCAGTCTCCACTATTACATTTCGAAAGTTCTGCCTTTGTTTTTTTCCAAATGACAAAGGTCCCACTGAGGGGTCAGAAATCAGTCAGAAACCAGTCAGAAACCGGCCAAACGCAACCTCTCTCTCTCTCCCTTGCCTATTCCCCCACCCTCTTACCAGAACTCCTACGCCTACCCCTATTCCAATTTCCACTACCACTACTGCTACTGCTACTGCTAGTGCTGCTGGTACTACTGTGAGTTTTCCGGACCGTTTCCGGACCGCACAAGTGTATTTTGCTCCCAAATTTGAAATCGAATGCGTTCACGCATGGATCCTTACTCTCATTACTAGACTTGCTACTACTCTTAGTAACTAGTACTACCACCACACCCGCTGCTACTGCACCACCACTACCACTAGTACACCTAGGAATTTCTGCCTTTGCTTTTAAATCCAATTGACACGAGTCCCGCTGAAGGGTCAGAAACCAGTCAGAAACCAGTCAGAAACCCGTCAGAAACCGGCCAAACGCAACCATCTGTTCCCCTCCCTCCCTCCCTCTCTCTCTCTCTCTTTCTCTCTTTCCCTCCCTCTCCCTTTCTTCCCTTGCCCTGCTACTAGAACTCCTACTCCGATTCCTACTCCTACTCCTACCCCTACTACTACTACTACTACTCCTACTCCTCCTACTCCTCCTACTCCTGCTACTCCTGCTACTCCTGCTACTCCTGCTACTCCTGCTACTGCTACTACTACTACTACTACTACTACTACTGCTACTGCTACTACTACTACTACTACTACTACTCCTACTCCTACTCCTACTCCTACTCCTAGTACTGGTATTACTGTGAGTTTTCCGGAGCGTTTCCGGCAATTTTCTTTTCTTCTCAAATATGAAAACGAATGCGTTCATGGGCAGATCCTTCTACTAGTGCTGCTACTACTCTCAGTATTACCACTAGCGCCGCTACCACTGCAACGCCACTACCACTACTACACCGAGGAATTTTTGCCTTTGCTTTTCTCCACTTGACAAAAGTTCCACGGAAGGGTCAGAAATCAGTCAGAAACCAGTCAGAAACCTGTCAGAAACCGGCCAAGCGCGAGTATATACACCTATGACTAACCTATGACTAATTTGGATGAAAGTGTATGGTGGAGCTATACAAAACTCAAACTAGAAAGGAATATATGATTTCGGACCGTTTCCGGACCGCGCGCACTCTGGTTGTCGGCACAACCTGTATACACCTATGGCTAATTTGGATGAAAGTGTATGGTGGAGCATACAACACTCAAACTATAACAGTAATACTAGTAGCAATATCGAAGTAGATTGGCGCGCCGGGCGCCCGGCGCCGGGCGCCCGGCGCGCAGATAGGATAATATTATAGTAGTAGTAGTAGTAGTAGCAGTAGTAGCAGTAGTAGCAGTAGTAGTAGTAGCAGCAGTAGTAGTAGTAATAATATTAACAATAGTAGTATGGATGTAATAACATAAGATTAGTAGCAATATCGAAGTAAATTGGCGCGCCGGGCGTCCGGCGCCGGGCGCCCGGCGCGCAGATAGGATAATATAGAGTAGTATTAGTAGTAGTAGTTGTAGTAGTAGTAGTAGCAGTAGTAGTAATAGTACTAGTAGTAGTATAGTAATAGTAGTACTAGTAGTAGCCGCAGCAGCAATAGTAGTAGTAGTAGCAGTAGCCGTAATAGTAGTAATATTACTACTAATTAGTGTGGATGTAATAACAGTAATACTAGTAGCAATATCGAAGTAGATTGGCGCGCCGGGCGCCCGGCGCCGGGCGCCCGGCGCGCAGATAGGATAATATTATAGTAGTAGTAGTAGTAGTAGCAGCAGTAGTAGTAGTAGTCGTACTCTTACTAGTAGTAGTAGTAGTAGTAGTAGTAGTAGTAGTAGTAGTAGTAGTACTAGTAGTACTAGTAGTACTAGTACTAGTACTAGTAGTACTAGTAGTACTAGTAGTACTAGTAGTACTAGTAGTACTAGTAGTACTAGTAGTACTAGTAGTACTAGTAGTACTAGTAGTACTAGTAGTACTAGTAGTACCAGCAGCACCAGCAGTAGCAGTAGCACTAGCAGTAGTGGTAGTGGAAATTGGAATAGAAGTTCTGGTAAGAGGATGAGGGAATAGGCAAGGAGAGAGAGAGAGAGAGAGGTTGCGTTTCGGTTTCTGACTGGTTTCTGACTGGTTTCTGACTGATTTCTGACCCTTCAGTGGGACCTTTGTCATTTGGAAAAAAAAGCAAAGGCAGAACTTTCGAAATGTAATAGTGGAGACTGCCACTCAGTATAATGCCACTATATATCTTGTAATAGCTTCGGGTATCTAACTATCCTCCTTACCGATCACCAGCCCCGTTCTGTTTTCGACGCATTCCTTTAGGGGTATGCATTAAGTTGCGCAAGGCCCTGGATCGCTCCCCCCAAGAATACGTCCGGTCCGGGGTACACCCGCTTCTGTTGGTGGAACCGCTTAAAGTGATCGGCAGGAGCTACTAGTAGTAGTAGTAGTAGTAGTAGTAGTAGTAGTAGTAGTGGTAGTAGTAGTAGTCGTAGTAGTAGTAGTCGTACTCGTACTAGTAGTAGTAGTAGAAGAAGTAGTAGTAGTAGTAGTCGTACTCGTACTAGTAGTAGTAGTAGTAGTAGTCGTAGTCGTAGTCGTAGTAGTAGTAGTCGTAGTAGTCGTAGTAGTCGTAGTAGTCGTAGTAGTAGTAGTAGTAGTAGTAGCACTAGTACTAGTACTAGTAGTACTAGCAGTACTAGTAGTAAAAGTAGTACGAGTAGTACGAGTAGTAGTAGTAGTAGTAGTAGTAGTAGTAGTAGTAGTATTAGTAGTAGTAGTAGTAGTAGGAGTAGTAGTACTAGTAGTAGTAGTACTACTACTACTAGTAGTAGTAGTACTACTAGTAGTAGTACTACTAGTAGTAGTACTAGTAGTAGTACTAGTAGTAGTACTAGTATAGTACTAGCAGTAGTAGTAGTAGTAGTAGTAGTAGTAGTAGTAGGGTGGTAGCCGTATAACCAATCGCCAACCAATCGCTCAGCCTATCGCGATGCAGGTTTTAGCAATCGCGCGAAACAAAGTAAACGCATCAATTCATAAATTTGTGACCTGCTTTTACGGACGGCTCCCATATATATATATTAATATATTATATATATATATTGTGTAATGTAATTATCGTATCTTGACTCTCTGCGAGGCTGAAACTGCATCAAAATATCAGCATTCTGCCCAAATTATAATAATTCGCGGTAGTTGGGTCTAATTTCGTTATTTCCAAAATGAAATAGTTTGACGTCGGGAAATTACGAAATTAACAATTGACGTCGAACTGGTTGTGACCTGCACATGCTTCATTGCACCCTTTCTACCTGCTTCTGAAGATTCTAGATTCTAGTTGCCGATTTGGTTTCATGGTTGAACAGCAGCTTGGCAGCTTCTTCAATAACAGGAGACACAACAAGCATAGTAAACAGCTGCTTGCTGGGGCGATTGCAATGACCGGCTCCGCTGTGACTTGTTAGGACTGACACAGCTGCAGTTGTGAAGGGTGAAGCAGTGTCAAGCGAAGAATTTCTAACCGCCTATGTTTTTGAGCTTTTCGGGGCTGAAGTGACCGAAAAACATAGGCGGTTAGAAATTTGAGGTCACAGCTTATATTTTGGTAGCCGCTATAGCTTCATTCTAAGAACAGCAAAAGGAATCGAAGTCAAGCAAGTTGGTTAAGAGTCTGAAGTGCTACCAACTGAGCTATAGAGGCTCTGGTTAAAGTAACAAAGATGATGAAAACTAAGAAGCAAGGAGAACGCAATGCTGCACTTCAGCCCCGAAAAGCTCAAACATAGGCGGTTAGAAATCTTCATAAATCTTCGCTTGACACTGCTTCACCCTTCACAACCGAAGCTGTGTCAGTCCTAACAAGTCACAGCAGAGCCGGTCATTGCAATCGCCCTAGCAACCGGCTGTCTACTATGCTTGCTGTGTCTCCTGTTATTGAAGAAGATGCCAAGCTGTTGTTCAACCATGAAATCAAATCTATGCACTATTGCAACCCACCGACTGCAGCCACTCTTTCGAGTGCATGGATGGAGCATGAATGCTGGCTGCATTTGTTCTTACTTGAAGCCCCAACAAAGCAGGTTTGCACAAAATGACACACAAAGCTTATTTCCAAAAGTTAGGTCCTAATTCGGAGGTGACGTCGAGTGACGCCGTTATTTGACCAGATACAGTATGACCAGATCAACATCATCACTAAGACTAAATCATACTAAGTCAATCTAAATCATCACGTTCCGTCCTTCCGCATTGGGATCGACAGCAGGAAATGCATCTTGTCATCTCGTGACTTGGTCTGTCAAGGCGAGCAATGTCAAGCATTGCCAGTGGCTATGAGTGCTGTGAATGCTATGAAGGCTGCGAGCCAGTAGTGTCCTCCGACTCCTCCTAGTTGTGCGAAAGTGACATTCCAACAATGTCCAAAATCAGCCGGAAACTGCGGCTGCCGTTATACCCCAGGAATGGCCTCCCAGCTGTCATAAGCATCTTGAACATCCTGCATGGGTGAATTTGGGCCCAAGATTCCTAACGCGAAGCACAGAACAATCTGAGTATCTCTGGGTCACAGACTTTGGCTGTAAAGCTTGGCAAAGGCTCCCGTTCAAGTTCCGGTTCTCAGAAGTACCGGTCACTGCACTTGCAAACCATGGTGACAAAGAGTGACAAAGCAACCAAATTATACCAAATGCATTGCGATTTATTGTGTTTTAGTGTGTTTGAACTGTGATTTGTGAGTGAAGATGAGTGAAGTTCACATTGCAAAGCGTGACATGTGTGACATGTGTGACTCGTGAATAGGAACATTGTCTACTCAAGCTCCAGGCCCATGCCGTTCCCGCTGGCCCACCAGTTACAGGCACGCGTGTTCCTTCAAGACTTCGGGATGGAAGCAGCGGCTGCAGATAGAAGCAGTGTCATGCAGTGTCTCAACACGGAGATCCTTAGAAGCTATTAGAAGCCTATCACAGCCTATCCTCCCTTCTTGTGGACGCCCGGACTGGACGCCTGTGTTTGCATGGACTCCAGCTCTCGTTACTCTAGTGGATGTCAGGTTCAAGTCAATCCCCAATCTTTCCAAGGTTTCAAGTGGCTAAGTGTGCAGTGGTATGAGTGGTTTCTTTTTGGCTGCGACAAGCAGCGACAGGTAGATGTAAAACTCAGTCTCGGTCAAAGCCAAGCGTGGCTTGGGTCCGAAGGCGCCCGGAAAGAATTCAAATGAGGCTGTCAACCACAAGTCAAGCCCTAAAAACTAAAACACATGCAACTTAAAAAGTACAGCAAATCCAGTGGTTATTTGAAACTGTCATCCAAAAACATCCATAAATCATCCCAATGATTGGGGCATGGGCGCAGCGCTGAGCCTACATGCTAGCTACGCTGCAAGCTGAAAAACTCCTTGGGAGCGCCAGGACAGGGTACGGAGGACGGAGCTCCAGTGGCACTACCAAGTCCATTCCACAATGATGTTATCAGAAATCAAGAAGTGATCTACAATGATCAATCAATGATCTACATCTACGGTGATCTATGTTCTGGTTTGCAACACCACCATTGTTCAGAAGTTCAGAAGAAACACGGACAGAAAAAGAAAAAAAAACAGTGCTTTTGGGGACAAATTGCACTTTCGGTCTAGGATTTTCAAGGGCACAGCCCTTCGGTTTTTCTTAAAGCATGAAGGGCGCATCCCCTGCTACTCAGGATTGGAGTTTATGCATCTCACGCCCAACAACAAGGCTATTTCTCGAGATGCAGCCATCAAAAGGGCAGGTCACGGCAGGTCCATGTTTCACTTCAGGAAAAAACCATAGGAATGCAGACCAATGCCCATCAAGTTCACCTGAGTTCCCATCTCTCGACCGGTATCACTTGAAACAGCATGCAAATCCGACACCTGTCAAAGGGAACTGCTCCTTGGATTGGAATAGGAGATCTATGTAATGATATATATATATATATATTGATACATAATCACATATAGATTGAGAATGATTGAGATATAGACAGAGATGATAGAGGCACACAAAAAAGCATGGCTTTCGGATCTTGCACAAGCTGGGGCTGCTGCGCCAATGTAGCACACCCAAACCACCAGGAAGCCAAAGGCGCCGATCTTGGCGCTCTCCCTGGTGTCCCAGCCAAGTTGCAGCCTCCACAGAAGTTAAATATGAAGTTCTCAAGTGGAAGAACGTTGCAAAATCGAGCTGAAATCAGATGCTGTGCTTTAAACACCTTGCTCTTTATTTGTCCAAACTTGTGCAGCCTGGTGTGCAAGTATCCTGCGTAGACCAACCAGGTGATCAGCGCCCAAGTCTCCTGTGGTTAGCATGCCACAAGCCTCCAATGTCATTCCTGTGTCACTTCACTGTGTCTCTCCTTTGGATCCCAGCTCCAGTAGTTGCCCCAGGCTTCATTGGCCCAAACGGCTCCCGAAACGATGCCAATGGTCCTTGGCAAGTTCTGCTTTGTAGGGTGAAGTGTTTGTTGCGTTTCATTTGGCTTCACAGTTTGGTCTATGCTCAAGAATTCATTCTGAGGAGCGGTCAAGAAGCCGAAGCCCAGCAACAAGGATCGGTACGCGAGATCATCCAAGGTGATCGCAAGCTGATCATCCTGCGACATGAGTGTTGGATGGTGGATAAGTATGGATAAGTAGACAACTGATGGCCGCCAAATGGCCATCACTAATGGCACCTCGGACAGAACTGCAGCTGCTGAGGAGGACGAGAACTCAACGGTGACCTTAACGCTCCCGGGAGGCTTCGATTGCAACGGTCAACAATTATGCACTCCGCACATGGGATTGCTTTCGCAAAAAATCGCTCACTTGGCGCGAGAGTTATACAGAACTTGAGAAAACCGCATTGCCGGCAGCAGCAGAAGAGCTCGCCACGGCAACCTGTGCAGGCTGCGTCTGGAAGTTAGGGCTCACACCGTACCATGGTGCTGGATATTCTTTAGAAGATTTGGTGACCCCACAAATCCACTACAATATATAATATATCAAAAAAATGAATAAACATCACATACTTTAGTGCAAAGGAGACAGGTTTGGGGCCCAAAGGGTGGTAATACATGGTAATACACTTCCCATCAGCATCCCAGTCTTGGCAGCCCCATCATTGTTAGGCGGAAGGACACAATAATTGGATACAGTTGATGCATGTTGTTTTTTTTCAACCAACCTTAGGAGATAACATGAGATAACCACCCACAATCTATCACAACTTTGTCAGCTTTGGACCCCATACAAGTACCCATCCATACCCATCTGTCCAAGAATAGGATACCCCTAGTTCCACTGGTTTATCATCATTTTGCTTGGCTAGAATTGGAGGTCTACCCTGTTTTCAGAATACCACCCACGTAAATCTGCCAGCACTTCTCCCACCTCCACGTCTCGGCCCTTCTCGCTGCTTGCTGTGTTGCCAGCATCAAGGCCAGTGGTACCGGTCATGGCCACGGGAGTGCTGGGGGAGCCCATAGCCTACGGGATGAGGCAAGGTAGATCACAGGGTATACCGTTTCTGGAGAATGCGATGAAATGTGGGGAAGCATGGCTAAGTGGCTAAGCCATGTTGTTTCCTGGCGTTTTCTTGAAACCAACCCCCAAAATTCAGCGGTTCCTTTTGGAGAAAGCAACGTGTCAGAGAAACTCATAGGTTTTGAGAGACAGAAACAGAACGCATTTGCTGGCCTGTCCGGCTGTAGCAACAGCGGGCTGAGGCCTCAAATTGAAATTGCAAGGAGAAGATACCACGAGTTTGGGAATTTACAATCTCCGCAAGTATCCAGTTCCCGCATAATTGTCCTTTCGATAGTCACAACATGCCATAATTATTTATTTGCTATTAATCTGTTCAATGAAGTATGTGTTTATTCATTTCTAAACATACATAACATACATATCTACTGTGTGTTTACGTATATCTATAAAATATCTATTTATTATATGATATTCTTCTCCCCCTTGCCATTCCATGGGTGCGGCTGCAGTGGACCATATTGTAGAGATCTAGCCTTCGGCTCTGCAATATGGTTGTGGCGCCATCCTACAAAACGGTATGTCCATAAACCCTGGCTCTACAAAATGCTATTGCCTGTCAACTGTATTGGATGATTTTGATCCACGACCATTTTGACAATTTTGTCAAAAATGATCAAACCAGCGCATTCACGGTCTTAAAAAAACAAAAAAGCAAGAGCCATTTTGTAAAGCATCTATCTCGTCAAGAACTCAGCGTCAACTGCCTTTTTCCCAGAGCCATTTTGTAGGATTTTCACCCTGTAATTCCTTGTCATTCATCCTTTTCGGAGGTGGAAGGAAACTGTTTCATGCAACTCTTGCAGCATGAGAATGTAGACAATATTTTTGCCAACAATGTGCTGGCAATCCTTCTGCAAATGAAAGCTTTTTCCATTGGAAGTCACAAAAACGGTCCCAAAGCAACGAAGAGCAGGGTCGTCAGAAGAATTGCGATGGGCCATGGCACCTTTCTTGGTAGCGTGTTGGTAGCGTGGCACCTTTCTTGTTCAGCACAGCAGCAGGAGCACCAAAGCCAGCCAGCACGGAATGTGCGAAGAGCACCAAACGCGTGAAGGCTATCATTGGTGGAATTGTCAGCGAGGCGGGGAAATTTCAATTTCATATAGTTTTCTGAGCCAACCGTTGCAAACACAAATAATATGCACTTATAAAATGGTACATGTATTGAAACGATGGGTTCTCTACAGAATGGCTACCAGATGTTTCTTTGTCAATGGCTAATTCACTTGTTTTAACCACCAAATCATACCCTTAAAAACCTCTACACAATGGCTTTTTGTTTGTTACAGAATGGTTTGTTTTGGTGCCACTAAATGATCATGCCTTCAAAATAGAAATGATAAAACCGGCTAAAACCCACTAATTACTACATAATGGTATCTGTGACCTCATTTTAAGGACTCATTTTCCACAGAATGGTAGCTTTATGGGGGGTCAACCCTGACCAATGAAATGGCAAGGAGGATATATTCTTATCATTTCTTATCCATTCTTCGTATTCTGCCTATCTTTCCCCTGCTTCTCAGTCAGCCACTGCAGGCCATTTGCGATGGTTTGGAGCGCTGGCTGGACTGCCTGCACTTGCACCAGAATCTCACCGATCTAGAATGGATGAACAAGGCATCCACAAACGTGTGTAGCTTGCATCATGTGTTTGGATCGATGTGGCAGGTCTGTGTGAACCAATCTATTGACGTGTTCAGCACACGGTACGGGTACACTCGTTGAAGGCTGAGAATCAGTTGGAGAGCACGCGAAATTACGTAGTTTTGTCGCTCTTAAAAGTCAGGCTTAGAGTATGTGCCAAGTTGTCCTATACTGTCATATTATGTTGGCAGTGAAATGCCTTTGCGTTTGCATGCCTTTTGAAAACCTTCCTCACTTCTGGTAGTCTTCCGATCGCCTCGCGGATGGCCGTCACGGGGCTTTCCTTCGGCTGACTCAGTGCCAGCACTGCCATGCCTCAAGAAGCAAGGATGAAGCATTCCCCCAGGCACGGCAGGACCACGATCGAGCACGATTGCCTCCACGATTGACCAGGTCGTCTGTCTGGGCTCTGTGCAAAGTACCGATCCAAAGAGGAGCGTGGCATAAGAGCACATCACGACCTTGTGCAATTCATCAACAGAAACACACAGCTAAGTTTTGACGTGTTAGGACTGTCAGGAAAGGAGAACATACTTGTATCATGGAAAACTACTGAAGTCCGGCGGCATCATAAAAATCTCATGTGCTTAGTACCCCCGGAGACACTCAAGTTTATAATTTATTGGGAGTGCTGAGCACCAGCCTCCGAAGAATCACTGCTATTCCACATCGTTTGATCAGTCAATGCCTACCAGAAATGGACAAAATGCCTATTTCAGGCTGCTGCGGAGACGTGCATGACCAGCCAGTTGGACCTAGGCAGGGCAGAAACCATGGATGCTAAAAACCTTTGCATGTCAACCCCTGTGGGAAGGTGAAGGTCCTCGTCTCGATGTGCTGCAATTATCTGCAAAATGCTGCATCTAGTTGAATCTTCGTGCGGGCTTCCTCGAATTCAAAAACCTTTTGGAATCCTTGATCCTTTTGCAAACCCTTCCGTATCATCAGAAACCGTGTTGCCATTGGCAGCTTATGGCAGCTTACTTAGAACATGCCAAACATGGTTCTGCTTTTTTAACCCTCAATACCTGGAGCAACAGAGTTGATTTTACACTTCTCACCGCCTTGGGCTCCAAGCTGCAAAGCAGGAACCAAAGCGCCAGCCTTCTGCAAAGCCTGGCCAGGGCTCAAATTGTGCTGGAACATTGGATTTTTTTGCCCTGCGCTGCTCTCTGCCTTGTCTTGATATCATGCTCATCAGTGGCTAAAGGCATCTGATCCTTCCAACTGCAAACTGCCTGATTCCAGTTTTCGTGGCTTAGATATAGAAGCTCTGGACTCCTCTCAGTGTGAGTACCCCAAGTCTTTCCTGATCTTCATCTGAGATTCTAATATACGTACTGTATATATCTGTATATACCATTCTAAGCATGGATGAGTCTCGCGGAGGATTCGAGCCTTGGGCAGGGAGAACTGGGCAAAGGCGACGATGCCAAGAGCCACTGGTGATGCCCAAACAGCTGCGATGTCGCTGGTGACCTTCTTGGCCTTGCGGGATCAACTTGGAACTTGTCTGAGTCAGCCCGCCCCCCAACAAAAGATATTTATTGTACTATACGCATCTATACGCCACTTAGTCATACTTAGTCCACATCAGTGGATGTCCATTCCCTATGCAATATGGACTAACCAGTTATAATTCTTGTTAGCTCATCACTTTTAAAAACTCATGCAAGTGCAAATTGGCATGAGGCTAGATGGTAAAATATGGTAAAATGAGTGCCACCAAACCTGGTGCCCGCCTGTGCTCCACCAAGCTTGCTCTGCGAGTCAAAGTACTTGGTGTCATCGTTGCTGCCCTCTGTGGCCTTGAAGTGCTGTGCCAATGCTCTTCAGTCTTAGATATCTTATGCTATCTTTAAATGCGTTAAATTAATAAATAATTAAATATAATTAGTACCTTCACCTTTTGGATCCTTGTGGGCATTCGAGTCCTGTAAACTTTAGAAGCAGAGCTCGCAGAGTCTTCAAAGTTGAAGGCTTGTCTGGCTCTTGTCATGCTAAGCTCGCCGCAGTGAAATACAGCGTGACGGCAGTGACTCCCCACCTGAAAAAACGCTTGCACACTTTTAATTGTAAGGAGAAGCCAAGTCTGCACTTCCACCGAACAACATCGAAAAACCTTTGCTAAGATGCCAGCGCAAGGAAGCTCAGAGACTCGTACATGTTGGAAAGTGGGAAGTGGCCTAATGTTCGCTTGATGCAGCGACGCTCCCTTTACAAACAAGTGAGGGAGTAGCAAATCCAAAGCTTCTCAGATCTTCTCAGCATCTCGCCGCTTTCCATCCAGCGGTTGCTCAGAAGGACCTGAGTTTAGCTTTGTGCTACCGGGAGCTCTAGCCAGAGCAGTCTAGAGCTGCAAAGACTGACTTTGGCCTGCTGATGACAATGCATGACAATGCTTTCTGTCATGCTTAGCATGCCAGCCTGCCTCCAAAGTTTTGTAGATTGAAGATTTATGACTAACACATACTAACTTCATACTAACACTTTCGAGATCTTTCGAGTTTCCATGCTTCCCCAAAAAACGTAAGGAATAAAGAACCGTTGGGCTTCGAAGAATGTCCAGCTGTTCTAAGCTCTAGGCAACAAGTGCCAAGTTTGCGAAGCACATGGCCTGAAGCGTGGCTCTCGGTCTAGCAGAATTGGCAGTTCTCCTGGAAATCGGCAGAAGCCTTCTTTGTGATGTGACATGGGGTGACTAAGCTCAGATCCCAGAAGGTCGGAGGTTTCCCAGCATCTTGCTGTGCCTGCCACAGCTACATCTATGGCATCTATGGCATCTATGGCATCTATGGTGCCGGGGCGTTCAGCGCGGCGTTCAGCGCGTTCAGCGCCTGTCCACTGCCCAAGGTTCCACGCCACCAAGCCAGTACAGTGCTCACCTCGACCAGAACCGCTCAGCAACATGGCTGAACGCTTGCAGAACAAGTACTGTATATAGTTCAATATATGATTCGATATAATTCAATATAATTTCAATATAATTTCAATATAATTTCAATATAATTTCAATATAATTTCAATATATATATATATATTTATAATTCAGACAGAAATTCACAGTACAGTAATTCGATTGGTTCGGCGATCCAATTTTTTTTCGAAGGATAGCGACTCCATGTGGGATATGCATGGATATGCGGGCATACCTTCTTTCAGCCGAAATGTGTCCTGTAGTTGCTTTGTATGCTTTGTATCATGTCAGGCTGGTAGATGCTGGTAGGATGGTAGTTATGGTATGTTATGGTAGTTTCTCCGGATCTATGGCCCATCTCCAGCTTCCGCACCAGCAAACCACCAAAGGAGGCCCGCTCAGCCCAGCCCTGAAGTTCATTGCTGTCCATGACCTCATCGACGGGAGGTAAGGGTTGGGTGTGGTCGGGTGTGGTCAGGTTACGGGGTAATTGCTTCAATAAAACTGATGAAACAAACGGACAGATATGGAAACATATGGAAAACATACGTCTTCATCTTTTGGCTTTACCCAAAGACTCTCATGTCACTGGAAATGGGATGAGATATGAACCGCTATGAGTTATCGAATAATTCTGATGTCTGAAGACAAGACACTCCTGGTGCACCATGTGCCAATGGGTTGTCAACTGCTGCGTGCGCCGGCAAGGCGCTAAGGGCCTCATGACAACCAAATTCATGACCAGTAAACGCGCGTGCTTGCACACCCTTGTGCTGTCTGGACTGTTGAACTGAATGTCTCACATTGTTGCTGTTTTACAAGGTCCCTCTGCACTCATCAAGAATGGACACCACTTGACAACGATTCACACCACCCAACCCTTAATAAACATATCTTTTCCTCAAATCCTCCCACGCTAACAACATAGACAACTAAGGTTTGCACGGCCAGTGCCCCAGCAGCGGCGGTCACAGCCTCAAGAAACATCAAGAAACCATGGGGCCCATGGGGTCCTGTCTTTCATCGCAAGGGGTTGGATCTGTGGAGCCACCCCATGCCCCAACTGTCGGTGCCTGCTCTTGCACACGGTCGGCAGAGTCTGCTCCTGCCATGAGAAACGTTTCTGGAACTCGGTTACTGATCCCAGCTCGTTGGCGTTTTCACCCCACCCCAAATGAATCGGCTGGGGTAAGTCATCCCCAAGATGGCTGCACAATTGACAGTGGCAGTAGAAAGATAATTCCACGCCTACTACCAACCAACGACTCGTCAAGATTCATTCATTCATTCAATCAATGAATCAATTCATTCATCCGTTTGCTATCATCTGCCATCAATTTGCTCTAAAATGCTGCCATGATGGGGAACGTATCGTCCAGCGCAGCTCATGGTCATTTGTCTCATTGCCTCGAGGTGCAGGAACAAATGCTGGCCAGGACAAGCAAATAGCGGCCAACACCTTGATGGACAGTACCAGGCCCATGTGGGCAGGAATGGCAGACCACCCCCATACCCAGTTTTCATGACGTTGGAGCTCAACCGATCTTCATTGGCTCACGGCGTCATCGAATTCGGTGTAGATTTTAACTTTTTTAAGTGATATGGCTCATGACTTGAAGTTGTGGGCCTGGTTTGAAGCTGCTTCTGACTGAGACTGCAACCAGAAGTGCTGGCAACAAAACCGGGCGTCTGTTGGCCACCTTGGGAAAACCCTGAGCAACCAGAGATGGCCATATCACGAAAAATCGTCGTCCCAATTCATTCTTCGGGATTCCAAGTAATTCCAGTTCTGGCCGGATCCATTGAATCAGCACACAGGACTCTTTTGATGCCACAGCCGCCCAATTGCTTCTCAGTCTCGCACCATGTTGGCAAGCACACCGCAAACTAGGAATGGATTTGGAGACCTGTGCGCTGGAGACAGGCTACCAGTACATAGACATAAACTTATTTTACCTAAGAAACAGCTCACAGGCTCTGATACTTGATTTCTGTCAAGTTATGACAGATTATGTTAAAATTGTCTTAACTGTTGTTACATTATTTTACATTATTGTTTGGTTATGTTACAAAAAATCATAGATATTTTATATGCGGGCTACCCTGGGTAAAATCACTAGGGTGACCCCCCAAAATAATTTCTGGGATTTATTCTGAGGTGCTTCTAGTACATAACCCACTACAAAATATTTTTTTCCAAAACACTCTAACCACCCCAAAATAATATCCTTTATCACTACCCACCTCCTCAAAATAATTTCCAAAATTTGCAAATAAATTATTTTGTAGGGTTCTACTATTACTCAAAAACACTTCCCTTAGTTCAAAATAATTTTGGAAATTATTTCAAGGTGGTTTAAGATGGTTTTGGATGATTGAAAAAACAAGTAGAACCACCTCAAAATAATTAGCAAAAATCCCCACAAAATTATTTTGGGGGGTCACCCTACCTATCCTCCCGAATGCACCCGACAAGCATTGTCGGAATTTCATGATTTAGACCATCGATTTTTGGACAAAGAAATCTGAATCGACCCCTTCCTACCCCATAAATTATTTTGGGGGTGGTTAACTACTAAACCACCCCAGAAATAATAATAGCCTAAACTGGCAAAATTAACTTCCCATTGAGTAGTTCAAAATCCAAATTGCCTCGAACAGACAAACCCTGAGATTTACCATGAATTACTTGCTGAACTAATTATTTTTTAGAACATCGACTTAGCATCGGCTTTTGGGCAAAGAAACCTGAATCGATTCCTCTCTCCCCAAAAATTATTTTGGGGGTGGTTAACTACTAGACCACCCCAGAAATCCAAAATAACCTAACCTTGCAAAACTCAACTTCCCTGGAATAGGTCAAAAATGCCAAACCTGATCCAAATTGACCCAAACTGTCTGAAAGAATCAAACCATGAGAACCTAATTATTTTGGGGGTGGTTAACTACTAAACCACCTATGATTTAGACCATCGATTTTTGAACAAAGAAATCTGAATCGACCCCTTCCTACCCCATAAATTATTTTGGGGGTGGTTAACTACTAAACCACCCCAGAAATAATAATAGCCTAAACTGGCAAAATTAACTTCCCATTGAGTAGTTCAAAATCCAAATTGCCTCGAACAGACAAACCCTGAGATTTACCATGAATTACTGGCTGAACTAATTATTTTTTAGAACATCGACTTAGCATCGGCTTTTGGGCAAAGAAACCTGAATCGATTCCTCTCTCCCCAAAAATTATTTTGGGGGTGGTTAACTACTAGACCACCCCAGAAATCCAAAAAAACCTAACCTTGCAAAACTCAACTTCCCTGGGATGTGTTGGGATTGACGGGATGTGGCTTGAATGAAGTTGGAAATGGCTGCAGATTGATTCAAAGAATATCCTGACTGAACATGTTGAAATATGTAGTTGAAATTTGATGTAATATGCTGAAATTATTTTGCAGGTGGTTTGCAAGTACCCCCACCCCATGAAATAATTTTCATCATGGGTGTCTGGTAATTATTTTATACAGTTGGAACTATATGAAATAATTTCCCCAGTTCAACTGAGAAATTATTTTGAGGTGCCTTAAGTTGTTTGTTTAAAATTATTTCAAGGTGCTTCAACCTCTGTAGGTGGAAAATTATTTTGCACCATCATCAAGGTACGGGTGCAAAAATTATTTTGCTATGGCTCTTGTCGGGTGATTTTAACATAAAATTTATGTTAAAAATTGGAAATTATTTTAAAAAAATATTTTGGAACCAACCCCCACCTCAAAATAATTTCCTAAGGTAGGACGCATTATTTTATGATATCTATAGATTATGAAATTAAGTAATGATTATCAATGATTATTATAGTACCCAACGCCGTCCCCAGGCAACTGATAACAAAATCATTTTTTTTGTTTTTTTTAAGGGTTTGGGGTGCGGGGGGATATTAACGTGCCTGTCAATTTGCTCACGTCATGTATGCTTCGTGAACTTCGGGGTTGGCTGGGTTATATTATATATATATGTATACATTTACAATTACATTCACATTTAGATACATATATATGATATATATAAACATATTATGTATACATATTATATACATATACATTTATTTTCACAATTATATACATATAAAATGTACATATCTTCATACATATATATATATTTATATACGTATATATTATATACATAAGGCACAAAAAATCACCAGTTCCCCCAAGACTAGTATGTTAACATTCTTTGCTGGTTCATGTCTCGACCCTTCCCACTTGGCCGCCTTGTAATTAGTGCCACTGAAGCGCTCCACGCGGAGGATCAGGGCTGCCCTGTGTGCTTGACCCTAAATGCATATTGCCCAGCCATTCAGCCATTCAACACCTTTTTCAGTCGGAAAGCGCTGAAAGCGCAGCATATCCTGAAATCGAGGATGACGGCATCATACTTTTTCATCAAGCATCATGAAATATGATGAGTATCATGAATATGTCCTGTATGTTCACCCAACATCACCCAACTAATTTCAATATATCCTGAGGGAAGAGTATGCAAGCACATGGTAGCACAGACCTGCAAGTCCGTTGTGATTCTGCAATACTCTGCATATGACTGGCCAGCCCTTGTAGTCCCACTTCCCACTGCCTCCAGTTCTTGCAGCGTCATTGTGACTTAAAACTTACTTAAAGATACTTAAAGTATCTCAGAATTTGAGATTAAATATTATACAATTATACTAAATTTACTAAATTATACATCACTTACTGTATGCCGTATGTCCTACAAGAATACTACACAGTTCCCTGGCGAAAGCTTTTGCGTCTGCGCACTCTCATGACCACCTCTGTGAAAGGCAGCCTTCTCATGAAAGTGAAAAACACCTATGAGGAAAATCTGTTCACCTCGAGACATTGAAGCTCAGGTGACGACGATGGTCGTTCGAGCCCAGTCACTGTCTCCGCTTCATCGATTGCACTGGTTTCCCAGTTTGCCATCGTGTCCGGGCAGGTCTTACATCTCCAGGAAGCAGTTTGAGCGTGATCTTGTAACCGTAACCGACAGCTTGCAAGTCGATTGGTGTCTCCTCGCACAAAATCTGAATGTGGACAGGAATGGCTTCCAGCATTGGACACAATATATCTACATCATGTCGAGTACGTCCCAGTGATGTTTAAACTCTCAACGAATGATATGTGCTTCAGCACTCCTTGGCAAAAGGCTTGAACAACCGCAAAACAATGGAGGTGCCAAAGTGGGCCTTCCTCAGTCTCCTGCAATAAAAGAAAATCTGACCAACAAACTCACAACTTCTCTGTTGCATCGATGTTTGTCCACCTGTGTGTTTGTGCGTCTTTCGCACCAGAAGTTAAAGGATGAATGATGTTTTGAGGAGCTACAATCAGAAACGTCTTGAATGCCATTGCGTACTCAATGTGTGTGGCTGTCCGGCTGTCCTTTCTCTTTGCCAGCATGCGTTTTCTTGGGGATGCGAGCCTTCTCTGCAGCCTTGCACAAGATTAACTGTGTGACCATAGTGTTTCCTGAACTCAGCACCTTTCTAAGCCATGGCAAGCCGCATGCATGGTAAGCCGTTGCATCTACGTTTGCGGCCTTGTCCTCTTCCAAGGGCAAGCGCCACTTCGAAGGAGAAAGGGAATGATCATCACTGTCATCTGGTGCAGGGCTGTGCAAATTAGCACCATTGTGCTTCAGTTCAGTTTTGGTCAATTTGCACAGGCTCGCACTGGTGCAATTTATGCGTCATGTTGATCATGCTGCATCTGTTCAAGTCTCAAAGTTTCAAGAACATGTCCCTGGCCTCTCTGCAGGTCAACATCTGGCCTCAATCCCATCTCACTTTTGCTTGATGCGACAACGTGCTACAAACTTGAGGCCCAGGGGTAAGGGAAGAAAGCTATATAGCTTGGCAGGGAGCTTTGCATGAAAACACAATGATGTTGAGGATGCAAATGCTGCCGAATGTGATGCCAGTGGCAACATGCCGACGGTGTCCGCGGGGGGATGGAGCCACGGCCAAAGTGCTTGTAAACTAGCCAGGGGGTGGAAATACCTATGAAGTTTCATGCGATTGCCAATCAATACCATCAACACCTTGCTAAAGCAAGAGGGACTTCAGCTAGCAGAAGCAAGCTTTCGTGATATGCTCTACTCGGCCGTATCTCAAATATCTCGTGGTATGGCTTTGATTGAGCCGATGACAGTGGTCCCAACCTGGCAGCAATATGCAGCAATCGGAAATGACGCAGTTCAAGATGTTTAATCAGGTAAATCTCTCAGCATATCAGCATAATTCAGCTAAACGCATGAATGTCGTGGCCAGCCAAGATTACTAGCTGGACAAACACGGTTTTGGCCATTTGGGTTTGGTGAATGATGTGCCACCAAATTAAGTACATTGGTTCAACATAGTTCAGCTGGACGCTCCAAGGATGAAGAGAGGCCACAAGTCAAGCCAGGCCAACCTTTTGCGCAACTCCAGTAGCTCCTGGGAGGTTACGTTCTCTTCCAATCCAGCCCTGGTCAGAAGATTTCAGAAGCACTCAGGCTGCAAAAACATGCAAAAAGCAGCATGGTTTGAAAGCGATTGGCTTTGGCAGGTTTGATTTCGATTTGCTTCGTTTTCAGCATTTGTCAGCCATGTTTTCAACCATGCAACTAAACAAACCTAGAAAGGAACGTATTGTTAAGTATTGTTAGGAGTGATCTAAGACGGCCGCTCGACAAAGGCAACGGCAACATCGTGCATGCCCACCTGAGGATCCCAGGTCAGCGGCAAACTGCTACGGCCATGGGGATCCCACTGCCTCTATTGCAGAAGTTGCCCCTCGCCATGAAGACCTCGAGGCTCTGGAGATGGGATCTCAAAATTTGGCCATGTTAATCATGTTAATCTCTATTTTACATATTTTTACATTATCAATCAGTGTTATATTGATGTACAATGTATATTATTTTATTATTATATTGTATAGTATATTGTCTGTTAAAGTTGTTATATAACTGATGTTAACTGCGGAAAGTCATGAATAAACCACTGGTTTTCGGATGATTTTGGAGTAGCCTGTTGTTGAACAAACCCAAATCAGTGATCCAACACTCAGGATGCTGAGGCCCCAGCTTGGTATGGGCGGGATCAAAACGCAATGCCTTGGAATACTCAGCTGTCATCAGCTGTCCATGGTCGACCAAACAAATACTACCAGTAACATCCAGTAACTACCAGCAGTAAGTGCGTCGCAGCATGGCATTGGTCTATCGCCTGATGGGGCGAAATGGGGCGAAGGGGTGAAATGAGGGACCGGTGATGTTCCCACTGTAGAGTCTGGCACGTCCTCGCCTCAAACCATTTTCTTTGCTTCATCAGTGCCTGGTTCATGGGGTTCATGAGTTGCGTTCTCAATTGGTCTATCTTGCGTTCCATCGTTTTATTCTCATTTTCTCTAACTGCAAAAGTATTGCATCTCCGAACCTGCGCACTGTTTGAATGTAGGATTGCTGCAAGTTGTGCAAGCTCCGGCCCTGCCATGACATGTTTGATGAGTTGCTCAACCAGGAGTTGATCCGAATTGAAATGAAAAAATAATAATCGTCTTTGAAAACTTCAAACGGAACCTTCATCACTCTCGGCACTTTCGACTTCTTGCAAAGCCTTCCGCATCACAAAGACTCCAAGTGAGTGGGAACAGATATAATTAGTATTGATATGTATTGATATGTATTGATCCCTCAACATGGTTAGGTAGGCAATGCATGGCAATGCATCCAAGAGAAAACAGGAACTGGTAACCTGGTAAATGAAATGTGCCGAATTGTGCGGCCCAGTTGTCAGCATCAAGCCTCGAAGTAAAGGCTCAGCGCACCTCATATCTGGTATTTGAATGGATGTCTTTGAGTGTTTGTCATGTCGCCTGGTTTTTTTCCGTTGCAGATTGACAAGTTGTTGGCCTGCACTATCACCACCAGCCAGTCTTCGATTACCACGCTCCTTGATCTTTGTGCAGAAACGAAGGAGCACAGTGTATCCAAAATTTCATGAGATGAGATTTTGAATCTTCAACCAAGTTGTGAGAGTCCTTCAGCTCTTTGCAGTGAATCAAGAAGCCCTGGTAACGTTGAAAAAACAAACGGTGCATTTGCAAAACCCCTGCTGAAATAAACTGGGAGGAACTCGAGAATACTCGAGAAAACGCCTCTTTCATCACATGAGTGTCGGAAGTATTGTTTGATGTGTTGTTTTACTTTGTTGGTTCTTCTGATTTCTTATGGAATTTAGTTCAAACATGTGCAGCATCACTCGTATTCTCAGCTAAATGATGTTCAATTCGTGCAAGTGATTAATCTTCATGTTTTGAGACTATTCTGTGATTTTTTGGGCCGCCCTGCCCCCCCCCCCGCTCGTGCACTTTGGCTAGGTAATGATTGATCGGTTTGATCCAAGACAGCTGAGAGATTCTGAGAGATTGATTCATGTTTCATTTAAGTCTCGCACAGTCTTCGATTGCACTTGCAGTACTCCACAAACAGCAGAAATCCATAGAAATCCATTTTGTCCACAGCTCCGCAAATCAATCACTAAGCATTTGGTAGTGTCCACCGCCACGCACTTGGAAGACTCTAATAGCACCACCCCTGCACCATGGACTTCAAGGATCTTCAAGGCTCAATGATATCTGGAGTTGAATCAAGATGAATCAAGTACTAGACGGAAAAAACAAGCCAGCACACACCACACAACCTTCTCTTTCCCCTCTATGTATGTTCCAGCAAATGATAACAAACCGACAAAGTGGCATCTGATCGTCGGGACTCAAACAAGACATTCCAGAAACGAGACAGAAGCCTGGTCTCAAGCAAATGCTGAAGTCTGTCACGACTACATGAATTTCTCTAAAGATCTCTGACGCTCCCTTGGTAGCCTTGGTTCCGCAAAACAACGAGCTTCAAAGTATGGCTGGACCTGCGGCGCTGCGATGCACTATGCAAGCCGGTATAACTTTCAGACACTCACGAGGACACGAGATACATCGAGATAATTGCACAGCATCCACTGAGAAGCTCCCATGCTATCCCGTGCCTCTTTGCCACCATCCTAGCTGACACAAGGGCTGAAAGCAATGGAACGACACGGAATACGACACGGATTTTGCATGCAAAACGTGGAGAATTGAGACCTCCAGCAACTTGACCTTGACTTCATCCTGTGTGACCTGAGTCGCACAGTCACAAGATTTCACAAGTCAGTTTTCCAGTTTTCTCCTCGAAGTCAAAGGGCTGCAATCTCGCTGAATCTGAAAGACTTTGACACTTGAACAGAATTGAATAGAATTGAACAGATTCAATCAGATTCAGCAAATCATAGCAAATCTATGCGCAAAAGCCTTGAACAAGCTCAACACCCTGTCAACGTGTCTCGGAGATACGTCTGAAGATGTCTGAAGTAGCAACGTCCGCAACTTTTCTAAAGCATATGCAGCACGCCGCGCATCACTGCACAGAACACCACACAGTCTGGAGAGGCTAAGTTGAAATTTGCAGCCTGCTGGGAGGGTCGGGGAGGTATCCCAGGAAGCGAAAGCGACTGGCAGAGTTTCTCCAAAACCTGACGACAATTGGGGGAGCAAAATGCAAGTAGATGTACTAGGTATGCATTGCCCAAATTCAAAAGCTCTGACATACCTTCCTATTGTGCTAATGTAGATAATCATATATAATCATGATGCTCTCTAATCAGGTGTGCTGTAAAAAAAACGTAAAAATGTATTTGATACAGTATAGTCCATTGCAATTAATATATTGTAATCATACTTGCCATCAAACCAGTCATCGGCATCACTCGACGTGATTGCTTCAAGCTTGACCAGGATCTGTTCAATCCCGCGATGAAACAGCGCTGCAAGCGCTCGCCCTCTTTGGCAAAGCTACGAACAAGCTCAGAATGTCACGGATCTTTGGATGTCTTTGGTCATGCTGTTTTCAACACTAGGCGAAGCTCTTCGCTGCCGCAAGCGCTTCCGCCAATTTCGATGCATCACCTTGCCCTTGAGCTTTGTCATCCTACAGCCAAGAGGCAAAATTGAAGACCAGGTTCCAGGATACAAACAGTCTAAAGGCTATGCTGCCATTAGGCGAATTCCACCTTCCACTTGGCATTGCACTTGATATTGCCGTCGAAATCAAAGCAAACATCTTGGCTTGCACAGGTTCGATCATACTCTGCTTATAAGTACATCTCACATCAACATGAGCACTGCCATAATGATGCCATAATGTATTGCCAACGGTCCTTACCACCACCTTTGCCACCAATGGCATCCAACACCTGCACACCACCAAGGTGTGCTTCTGCACTGTTTGCAAAACAGGCTGCAAGTATGTCCATCACTGCATTGACACTTCACAATCTCCACTAAAAAAGCACAGCAACGAAAGGTGGAAGAATAATAATTATGCCAATTATGCATGTTTCATGCTTTTTCCAATAGATAGGCCGCCATCTTGAGGGAGTTTCCACTGCCATGCTTGATTACTGGACCAGTGTATCAGCACATCTCCAGCCTTTGAGGACCATGCCTTTGCTGACACTTTTCCGGTCAAAGCTTTGGGCACCACCGCCAGGATTGCTAGCTTGCCACCCATGTTGCTCATCAGCATGATAGCCTGCCGGCTGGCAACTCTAAAGCATTTTCTGGGACTCCTTCACACATTCAAAACATTTCAAAACCATGGAAAGTTTTGCTCCACAGGGCCTTGTCAGAGCACTGCTTGGTCGCTGCGTCCATCGCTGGCGTGAGAACCTTGGCATCGTCGCAGCCAGCACCAGCCTCGACCACGCCCACGAAGGTGTTGCCGGATGCCGCTGCGGCTTCTTTGCCTCAGGCCCAACCAGATAAAAAATGATAAAAATCTACATTGCAACCCAGCTGGCAGCAGAGTCCGTGGAGTCCAGCAGAGATTTCAGCCATTTTCATCCGTTCCGCGTTTAGTTTTCATGATTTTTCATGTATATCATTCCTCGTGCATTCTTGGGGCCAAATGCATTTCATCCCATAGACTCTTGTCGTGCTTGTTTTATTGAAAACTGTATTGATCTGCAATACTTGCCGACACAGCACCCAGCTTCTCACCATCCTCCTTGGCTTTGCCTTCGAATTTCTTGGTCTGCTCCTTCCCTGCCTTCAATGAGCCCTTCGCCCTTGGTACACTTCAGGGTGCTTGATTTTCGAAGCGTCAGAAGCGGCAAAAGCTGGAAGTTAGCATGAAACACTCCAATTTCCAATTTGAAACAAGATCAAACTGAATTTGGAGCACATGTGATTGGCTATATTGGCTGAATTAGGAAACTCCATGGGCTCCATGAAACTCCGTGTCCTCTCATATGACTTCGCCGCAAGACCTGGCCAAGAATCAATCCCTCCAGTTCTGTGATGATGTCATTCTTCATGAGGAGTGAGACCTCCTTGTCCTTTCAAACACTCAATGTGATCAATATGTGATCAATATGTGATCAATATGTGATCAATATGTGATCAATATGTGATCAATGTGCGTTTGAAATCTCTTTGCAATCCAACAGGATCACCATGGCCTACCATGGCCTACCATGGCCTACCATGGCCTACCATGGCCTACCATGGCCTACCATAGCCCACCATGGCCTACCATAGCCCACTGGCCCACCCGGATTTCAGCCTGTCCTCTGTGACCTTTTTCCTGAGGTCACCAATGCACTTGTCGAGCTCGTTGCCAGGAGACATACCCTTGAAGCCATCAAAGTCCACACCTGGGAACATTGATCATCTGAGCTGCGTTCGACACATCACTGAAAAAAAATAAAATATATGATCATACAACCATCAACAATCTGCCAATCTGCAATGAATGTGGGTGTATGCATATATATATATAAATATATATATATAAATACATGTACGAACAAATATCTCCATACTTGACTATATAAATATACATATGATGTGTCCATCTATCTTGGCTTGGAATCTATCTCATGTACTATGTCTAATTACTTGTCTACCTATCTAAAGGGATGACTGACCAGCAAAAAAGTCCCCTGCTTGCCACAAAAGATCTGAGAGTCTTCGCTTTAAGCGTTGCTTCCACTGCTGCCTGTGGTCCTCCAGCACCAAACGCTCACTTCGAATGCGGCTGGTCCACATGCCCCACAGAATCGGAACCTGATAAATACCATCTGGTTATTTAACATAGCCATGGAAAATCACCATTTTTTATAGGTAAACCCAGGTAAACCATCTATAAATGGACCATTTTCCATATTTTTCCATGGCTATGTTAAATAACCAGAGGGTATAATAATATATGGCTATGGGCTATGGCTCAAAAAACGGGTATGGATCGCTACGCGGGTGATCCGAACGTATGGAACGAAGGAACAAATGATCTCAACTCTTCAAAAGGGTATGGATGTGGACCGGGGGGTATGGATCAGGGGTATGGAACGCTTGTGCGTCCGGGGTATGCATCGGGACCTTACATTTTGAGCTGCAGCCATATGATACAGAGCATCAAATTCCCAGACCGGTCCTGTGACTGCTACTATTCTTCGAATGCCTTTGGCAATTCCCTCTTCCTGCAAGAGGACAAACTTGTAAATTTCCTGTCAGGCGGAATGGCAACTGAGTCATACAACTGAAGAAACTTTATAATAACTGTATATTTCGGTGCGTGAAAGCAAACAGTCGATTCAACATGATTCCCACTCTTGTGCTTGCGCAATGATTCCGGCTGGCACAAAGCAGGAACTTTTTGAGCACTCCCTGCTCCTTGCTGTTGGTGACGTGAGTGCCACCACAGAATTCTATACTGGTCTGCATTCCCCATGGTGTGGTCTTGTCGGTCAGGAGATCATCAATCTTCGGGCCAACACTCACCACACGGACAGGATCCGGATAAGTTTCACCAAATACTGCTCCTTGGATTTGCCAGCTATCCAGCAATAAACTGAACTGAAGATAGCGGGTGCGAACCTTTGCTGTCACATCATGTCACATCAACTGCTCCAGGTCAAGTCGTGTGGCATGTGTTTGTATTTGATTGCTGTTGATCTGTTGTTTGCAACACATGGGAACTCAGGGGGCGAAAGCTAAGGCAACTGACTCTTGGGCTTGGGTTCCAACGCTTTAGGATCACCATGGGACGCCATTGGCTTCAGGCTTTCCAAGGTTTCCAAGAAAATCCTATCACCTCCACTGCAAAATACTGTAACATACTGTAACCTCGCGGGAAAATCTGAAAGTCTCAGCACTGAGATAGCTGAGACATGCTGAGACATGCTGAGACTCTGAGACCTGTGATGGCCTTCGCAGTATCGAGGGCCACATCGCGGAAGTGCACCACACAGGACTTGTGGATCATGTCGTTGCAGATCTCCTCGATTTTCCTCAGTTCCTTCACTTCTACAGGCTTGCCATGAGAGAAGTCAAAGCGCAGCTTGTCCTCGGTGACCAGGGAACCTTTCTGATCCACCTTTTCGCCCAGAACTTGCCGCAACGCGTAGTTCAGGATGTGGGTTGCAGTGTGGTTCTTTGCCACCAGCGAACGCCGGGTGTAGTCCACCTGCTCATGGTATGAATATGTATGAATGGTGTGAAGCAATGTTCAATGAATCATAAAATAACGTAAAGTAATTAACAAGAAGAAACAGTATAATATTATATGTGTGTGTGTGCTTGTATCTCTCTCTCTCTCTCTTTTCGCACCTTGATGGTGACATTGTCGCCAACCTTCAACTCTCCCTTTGTGTCCACTTGACCAATGTGAAGGACGTAGCCAGCCTCAGGTCACATCAGATCAAAGCAAGATTCATGACTGCACTGATTGCTTCAATTTGCCGAGTGTTCAAATGTGTTCAAATATCATGGCATATCATGGCATATCATGGCATATCATGGCATACTTGTACCGCCAAATATTATCAATTACTATCACATATAGCCAGCAGCATGAGATTATATCATATAGTCAAATATCAGCAGCATCAGCACCAAGAAGCATATTTCTGAGCATTGTCCACGGTGAACTCGACACCATTGCACGTCACTGTGGCCTTGCAGCGGAATCAAAGCAAGGGATTACGAATGATTACGATGGTTGTAGGAATGCTGTAGGATACATACATTACATTGACACGCCTCTACGTCAATCATGCAGAAATATCATGAAATATCCAGAATGATTGTGTGCATCAGCAATCAGAAAAATCAAGGGGCAGTCCTTGTCGAAGATTTGACCTCCTTGTTCTGCATAAAGTGGAGTTTTGTCCAGCACAAGGCCGACAACGTCGGAACCACTGTTGCAGCTCTGCACGAACTCCTGCACAAGTTTCAAACAAGATCACTTCTGAAAGATGGGGTACTGTGGGAGAGCATCCATAATGTCTCTTTTCCATCTGCTCTCCCCTTATTGTGTTTCACCGTTTTTCGGCATGTTGCTTTGCTTTCCATTTGGATCCTGGCCATCATAGATCGCTTGGATCTTGGCAGTGAATTCACTTCCATCACCCTGACGACGGAGAATCAACAAGAAAGATAGGCAACTGTGAGACATCGGAGGTGAGATTCAAAGAAACATCAACAAACCTCAACAAATGTCAGCAACATCAATTTCTCACATCATACTGCCTATTCAAATCTATAGTCAATAGTTGTGGCCTGGCAGTATGATTAGTAATTGATCAGTATCAACGGTTACCATGCACAGCTCCAGCGGGTGTGAGCTGTGCGCCTCGGTGTTCCAGTCATATTTGATCGTGTCGTCCGTTGGCTTCAGCTTCATGCCTTTGATGAGCTTGTCCGTTTCGTTGGCTTTGAGTTCCATGTCCTGCAGCCAGATGTGAAAAATGAATGACATAATGTTACATAACTAGATATCATTGTCATGATATATCATTAATTGTCAGAATCATAACATCATATAATATATATTTTTATATATCATTCATGTCACTGAGGGCATCAAATTACATTCACCTGTATATTCTTTTGCAGTACAAGTTGTTGATCAGTAATGTGGCTCGTGCGGGCGGACAAGCTCCTTGGGCTCATTGGATGGTCGTTCATATTCATTCCAGCTGCTAGCTGCATTCACCCATCAATTCCCCGCAGCCTCTCCTTGGTAGTCCTTGCAGATTTCTTCTTCTTGGAATCTTCCCTGAATTCCGCCATCTTCTTTTCGAAGCCAGGCATGTCAACCTCCACCTTCAGTTCTTCACCCATCAACTGGGTTAGATCAACTGGAAAGCCATAGGTGGTAAATAGCAAAAAGGCATCCTCCCCAGTGATATTTCCTTTCTTCGCAAAGGTCTTGAACTGTTTGATGCCACGATCCAAGGTCCTGCCAAATTGTGCCTCTTCCTCCTTGATGATTGCCCTGACATCTTCAGGATTTTGCTTCAAAGTTGGGAAGGCATCACCCAACGTCTCCAGCACCGAGTCCACCAACTGATGGAAGAATCCCGGTGGCGCATCCAGGATCTCCCGACCGAAGCGCACCGCACGACGCAGGATACGGCGCAGGACGTAGCCACGGCCTTCATTGGATGGAGTGGCACCATCCGTCAGTGCAATCGTAAGGGTTCGGATGTGATCAGCAATGACACGATAAGCCATGTCAACGTGGTCCTTATCCTCTTCACCCACTTTGCCCGTGTAGGGCTTGGTGGTGCCGGTCTTCTCCTGAATGGCTTTGAAGATAATCTTGAACAAATCTGTGTCGTAGTTGCTGCGAACATCAAGGAGCACAGAAGTCACTCGCTCCAGGCCCATGCCAGTGTCCACGCTCTTCGCTGGAAGCTCAATCAAGCTGCCGCCCTCTTTTCGTTCGAACTGCATGAAGACCAGGTTCCAGATTTCCAGCACATCCGGATCATCCATATTCACCAAATGTGCTGCATCTCTGCCTCCAATTCGATCATAGTGAATCTCTGAGCACGGTCCACATGGACCAGTATCACCCATCTCCCAGAAGTTGTCCTTCATGTTGAAGGGGAGAATGCGTGATTCAGGCAAATACCTCAACCAAATGTTCTTTGCCTCCTCATCTGCAGGAACAGTTGGCTGCTTTGGGTCACCGCCATAGTAGGTTGCATAGAGCCGTTCGGGGTCCAGGTGGTAGACCTTCGTCAGCAATTCCCATGCCCAAGTAATGGCCTCCTCTTTGAAATAATCTCCAAAGGACCAATTGCCAAGCATCTCAAAGAAGGTGTGGTGGTAGACATCTTTCCCAACATCTTCCAGGTCGTTGTGCTTTCCACCTGCACGAATGCACTTTTGCGAGTTTGCTGCACGCTTCAGCTTGGCAAAGGGATGGCTGGGATCAACTTGTCCAACAAAGATCGGCTTGAACTGGTTCATACCTGCCGGACACATGAGGGACAATCGCAGTGGAAGTACTGAATGCGTTTTGACATGTTGCCCATGCAAACCTAGTGGATGCAAAGGTCAAGCCTTTGTTCGAGGTTTGTGTGGTCTTACAACAGTCTTTCATCCCGGCCTGCATTGATGAACAACAGGGTTGGATCGTTGTGCGGCACCACCGGGGAGGAAGGCACAAAATCGTGCACCTTTCCCTGGAAGAACTTGACAAAGCTGTCTCGGACTTCCTGCGCAACAGCACGAAACATCAAGGGGTGCAAGCGTGATTTCCACGGCACATTTCAAATCATGTGAGTCCTGGGCGGTTGTGAACTCTCCTCTTCCTGGACCCTGGGCACCTTGACCACCAAAAACCGATAGCGAATGCTCACTTTTTTCAACTGATACAGTGAAGTGCATGGAACCATGCAAAAAGCTGCAATGGTGGTGCAACATATGGCAGTGTGTTGGGAACGTGGCATCGCAAAAAGTAGATGGGGCTGCACCTGTCTTCTTTGCGCGAGAAGGTGCTGAAGAACCATTGGTTCCCTGAGCTTCCTTCTCTTCAGGAGGTATCAAGGATGAAGTCGCAACATTCACGGGATCAAGTCCAATGGAGGAGAGATAGCCATGGCTCTGCGCCATGGTTCCTTAGATGGTTGGCACCTCAAATAGGAAGCCAGCAAAAGTGGGACAAATATCAAGACTCAGAGATTCAGAGTTTTCCCTCATTCCAAAATCCCAGACACCTCTTTGAAGGATTCCACATGATTCCACCCTCTGCAGCCAGGCTACGTTCGTAAGCTTGGGGATCTCAAAGGTTCAACAAAATTTGGGCCATGCGGCTGCAGAAGCTCTCGGGGTGTGCTCTGAATGATATGCTCTGTGTTCCTGGAGGCAGCCTTTCTACATTCAAGGGGTTGAAGTTCCAGCCATTTATCCAGAAGAACAGTGAAGATCAACAAAAGCCAATAGATCAGCGCGAGCGCAGCAAGGAAACAACAAGCTAGCAAGATCAGCAAGGAGACTTTTGCTGATGAGCTGGCGTTCTCTAGCAATCAAACCTGGAGCAGGTTGTAAGCTGTAGTCAAACTGCAGTTGCCGTAGATGCTTCACTTCAATCCAACTGTCTGTCACAGTCTTTGATGTCAATAATTCGCATACGCTGGCATATGCAGCGTCCCATCCTCCAGCCGATATGGCCATGTCGTTGGCAAGCTGCAGAACACCTGCTTGAGGTTGTATATGTTCAGCTGCCATCAAAGCTGCCTCAATCTCTGGCCAACGCCAACATGGTCTGATCAGCTCTGACTGTGTGAAAACAGACAATGCAAACTGAGATGAAAAGCCTCTGCAGCCAAGCAGCATGCAAAGTCACACAGTTCTGCTGCACCAGTGTCATCCTAGGGGCTGCCATGGCCCACAACAATAAAGAAGAAAAACCTTATGCATCCTTGTGTACACAGTTGGCCTCAAACTCACCACATTCGCACCCCGAAACCTCTGATCAATCCTTCATAAACTGCCATCTGCCACCCACAGTTACCAAAGACAAGAGTCTGCATAAAGATCATCAGACTGAGAACGTGCTGCCAGCCCATAGATGCCGCACATGAATGCATTCCAGCAGTACCTTTCCAATCTAAGAGCTGTTCTTTATGGAAAGCTTGTGCCACGGCAATCAACATTGTTTCCCCTTAGCCTTGCCGAAAGGATTGCAGCTTTCCAGCTTCTGCCGAAAGGAGTAATTATTGCTATTCTGAGTCTTTTGTATTTGATCTTCTCCCCTCCACCCTTTTCTGGAAACCGATGACATGCAGAACTCTTAGAAAACTGCATAGCAAAGTGGCAGGATATCACATTGGGTGCCACCATCTGATTGGTGCTAAGGAATAGAGCCGTTGCCCACCCTGAGTGCAGCATGCCAGAACTCTTGGTGTGATAAAACTTTGCACAATTGATTTGTGACGGCTATGCTGCACTGCATGGCTCACCAATGCTCTCAGTGCTAAGACTTCTAAGATTCGTGCGACTGGCAATATCCAAAGCGCTCACTGCAGAGGAAACGGAGATGATGTCGGCAGGGCATCGGGCTGACTTCATCATATCCTCAAAATCAAGGCAGTCGATTAGCGCTTCAGGCTCCAATCTACTCAACACCAGTGACTCACGAACTTCATAGGATTCAATTGAAACATAGTGAAGCTCACAGCATATCAACTGAGGCAGGGGCTAAGGTCATGAAAGCCCACTCCCAGTTTCCGCACTTCTCCTGACCGCTGACAATCATGGGAGATCGAGCACTACATTACTAAGACCTAACCGTTGTAGAATGTTGTAGATTCTAGACCGTTCAGCCGTTCAGCCCACAAAAATAGGACAAACAATAGAAAAGGTACAGGCTTGCCATTGGACACGTTCGTCTCCTGAGCACTGATGGCTGCGTTGAAACTAATCTGGTCCGGCACCAATTGCCAAGCCATAGACCTCCAAGATTTGCAGTAGCATTTCTCTTCAGTGCCATTGATATCGGATTTGACTTATAGATATAATGATGCGGCGTGCTTGCAGTTCCCTCATATCACTTGCCGGAGTGCATCCAAGATATCTAAGTGCGGCTTGGAGGCAAGAACTGCAATGCCTGCTCCCACTTTTGAGCCCGTTCAGTGTTGCTAAGGACAGCATTGAGCGTCACCAAGCTTGCTTTGACGCTTCTCTTTTGCATCGCTGCCTTCAATATGACAGGATATGACAGGTGGTTTGGCCCTGACACAGGCCCAAAGGGGAAGCCGAGAGTGATACCACATCGGTCCAGTCTAGATTTTGCAATGACGGATGATACTTTCCGTTGTGCCACATTGTGATCTTCATACATATTTTTGCACCCTGAAACTGTGATGCTCAACCTGAAGTCTCATTTGAAGCAAGGAGCAAGAAGGCCAAAAGACAAATCCCAGTGCTGAACCTTTTCACCTTAAGTATGCTGTCAGTGCGGCTAACAGGAACACATGGGCACATCATGGCGCATATGTATCACAAAAAAACATATGTTTCAAAGGTGCATGAGGCGCTATCTTGGCATGTCACAAGATGATAAGGCAGCATTGAAAGACACGGAGGTTGGGCGAATCGACGCTGCCATTGCCTGCTCCAACATGAGGCAGGTCCTCTCAAGGGAACTGGCAGTAACGTCTCTTATTAGGTCGCGTCCTCGGACGCAGCAAGGACAACAAGTGACTTGGTCCTCTCCCACCGTCTCGCTCGCTCACAAGCGCTTAAGGCAGCATTTCGTATCACCATGGAGCTGTGTTGCTGCGACATGAGGAGGGCGTTGGTCCACTTCTGGCCACCAGAACAGGAACCTGAGCCACTGCAAATTAAGAGGATATTACAAGATGTTACAAGCATTCTGAGCCACACATATGACACATATTCACATATATTCACACAATTTCACACATATTCTAATATTCAGAGCAAGTTCAGCCGAGCTGCTAATGACGGAACAGTGTGACACAATGTCAAGCTGAAGATCTTCAGATGCGATCCATGTCGACAAATCAAAAGCTTCTTGCCACCGGCTGATCTTCTCGGCCGCTGCGATGGCAGCACTACTGGTAAACAAATGCAGTTCCATTCCCACATCCTTCACCTCACACCAGGACTCAGAAGAAAGACAAAGAACCTGAACGAAAGAGAAAGAAGGAACAAGAAAATGTATACAAACATATATATATATTATGATCATATATGAAATACAAGAAATGCCGATAGTGATAGTGAAGAAAATGAAGAACAAGAAAAATAGAGAAACAGGGAGGTGGGATACGGATGGATACTGTATATATAGGGGTCGAGTGGTGGGTTTCTTGATGTTTGCGAGCCGCTCATAATGTAGGACAGCATGAATGAACATGAATGAATCAACGGACCAAAATCCCAAAGTCCTGGCCTCCTGCAAGAGGTTTAGGGCACCATTCCACCCTGTCTTAGAGCGAAATGAGTTTGCAATATTGCTCCATGAGAATGCATCCCGTCGCACCTCAGCTGCTCGTCCAGCAACGCTTTTCCAGGCAGTTCCCTGATGATCTGATGTGGTTCGGATTTTCATGTATGTTACCGTTATGTCACCATTATGTTATCTGTATGTTCTCCCTTTCTACCGCTTCCATCTGCATTGCGTTCAGGTACATTCGGCTACATTCGGTGCATTCAGCAAAGGCTCTCCATGGGATTTTGCCATGTCTGCGATGCCAAGGGCCTTCATCCAACATTCACTAGCCTGGCCCTGCTTCTCCAAGCCGTTTCCCAAAGTGTTGTATGTCACCACGCCCTCAGCAAGCGTTGCAAGATTGACACAGCCAGGCAGTGGAAGTTCTGCCAATTTTGGGTGAGCTGCTGCCCGAATGCTTTGTATTCGAAGGATTTTGAAAATCCCGAAGGCGTGAGACCAAGTAGCCAGACCTAGGGCGCAACAAACCGAATGCCACTTCTGAATATTTCTGAAGCTTCCGAAGCGTGGTGAAGTCCATGTCAAACAAGTCTGAAGTTGCACTCTTCAACAGGTTTGCTTGAAAACAAGGCGGGCACCTGAGTCTGAACCCAAAGCTGTCAAGAGCATATTGTGCAGAATCAGGCTCGACCTCACTCTCCGGAAGCCGACCTGCGACATGAACTTCAGAAACATGAACACCCCAAAGCAGTCTGCGGCTTCATTGCCACATTGCCAATCTCAACAGGCGCTTCGAACTCCCTGCCTCCCGAAGTAAATCCACTGCAGCTTGCCACTCTCGGGCGCTGCTCAAGGCCTGCATTTGGGCAACCACACTTGCATCTCCTGTTCTGCGAACCTTGGCAAAGCAAACCTTGCAACTCGCACTCCAACTGTGGACTGCATAAGTCTCGGATGAAAATAAAATGATGGAATCAGCCCAAGGAATCTGTTCTCTCTGGTCCCCCCCCAAAAAAACAATCATTCACTACCATGGTATCAAGACCTTTGTCAATTTGGGAACTAGCTTGGCTCCTGGCAGACCGTCCACGAAGAATCGACAGAGAAAGATTCCAACGGCAGTGTGACAGACATGATGCAATTCCACCACCGCACCTGCGAACCCAATTGGGTGCCAATTGGACACACTATGATAATATACAAAAGATCAACTCATCTGCTGCGTCTGCCAGGGCGCTGGGTTGAGTCTTGCTCGCAAACGATTGCAGCTAGGGCTGCAGACCAAAGGTGCCGTGCGCCTGCCTGGGGTCAAGGTATTTCAGGTGTATTAGCAATATCTAGCAATATCATATCGATTTGAAATTAATCTTGTGTGCCTTAAAGAGCCTTACGAATGCCTCATGCTGTGTTTACTTTTGCACATACATGCGTATGTATTGTGCATGTATATATATATACATATATATATATACGCAGATAGATAGATAGATAGATAGATAAGATAAGATAAGATAAGATAAGATAGATAGATAGACAGATACATAGATAGATAGTTTGATAGATAGACAGAAAGAGAGACAGAGAGATAGAGATGGATATACATATGTATATATTTGTATATGGATGTATATATATATTGTGTTTAATTCATTATTTGTAAATGACATGAATGTAATATATCAAAGCAAACTGCTGGTTTTTAGAAGACTTGCCATTGAAACCTCGTACGGTAAGGGATGCTCGCCTTGAGGGATGACGCGGCTCCAGCTGCATCGACCATCAGAAGCCATGGCCGCTTGTATGGTGTTTCTTTCAATCTCTTTGAGACCGAATGGATTTGATAGAAAGATATGAAAGATATAGATGATATAGTAGATATAGAATCTAAGACATGGAAGAACGTCTGTTGCCAGCCTGAGACAGTCCCAAAGCATGCTAGCTTCAACCTGTGGGTCCAAGAAAATCCCATTGCGGCGAGCTGTCTCGCAAATGCCGTGTTGCGCCCGTGAGCCTAGAGGTCAAGAAGATTCAAGATGTTCAGAATGCATGACGGTGAGTGACAGTGAAAAATCAAAGTAACCCATACAGTGAAGAACGGCAGTCACATGCGGTCACATATTGAGAGGTACTGGCCCTGTTGTTGCCATAGGCAAGGACTGGCCGCCTCCTGTTTGCACAACGACGGGAAGTTGCGGCTGGATTTTAATTGACTTCACAGGCTGGGCCGAGGATGATAAGGATGGGACAGCACACTGGACAAAGCAGCCATTTCTGAACCTAGCGGAATGTATCTTCGTGTCTCAGCCAAATGAACTTCCAAATGTGTTAAACAGTGCTGATGATACCTCTGCTCCCTTTGTCTGGTACCGACACAATATTGCGCCCAATGTTTCTCGCTGCTTAGGATACATGAATCGCTAACAAATATTCTGAGGCAGTTGCTACCCGCCCAGTTTCCTTGTCTGCCGGTGATCTGCATGTACCTTTCCAGCTGACACATGTGGTCAAAGCCATGCAGCTTGAAGAGACAAGTATATAATATAATATATAATGTGTTTGCTGACACCGTGTTTCTCTTGTAAGCCAAGTTGCTCGGCCCCGTGCTTGAGAACAAACTCACGAACCTGGTCCCTCTCATACTCCGAAAGAAGCTTTCGCACCTGAAGCAGCTGTATGTCTATAAGTGGCTAGTATACTGCCTGCCGCCTACCGCTCGCCGCTACACCAAGATCAGGGCTCTCTTGTAGACGCCCTGTGGTTCTTGCAAAGGGTTGGGCAGTGCTGACTGTTCATAATCAAACGAAGGCAAGAATCAAGTGAGATGAGGTGGCAAATTGATGTGGCACACACAATATGCGGATATTATATATATATGTGTGTGTGATATATATATATATACACGAAAGTATGGATGCGCTCCGCACCGCCTGCAGATCCCACCTGGTCATGAAAAATATTGACAAATGCATTGAAAATGCTACACAATCTGCAGTCTGCTGTACTGTATCAGAGCGATGTCCAGGGATCAGGCCCCATCACACCATCTCCAAGACCATGCTTATTGGAGCTCACGAACTCCTCCAACATGTCCTTTGGAGACCATGCAATGCAGCTGATGGGTAGCTGAAAGGTGTCACAGCTTGAAGCGCCCAGGATGAGGCTGTGTAAAGCTCTCGCATGCGCCACTCTGCTTCTGGTGGCAGTTCTCCACTGCCCAAGGCTTGCAACTGGCGCAGGAGGCCAGGATAGGTTAGGTAATGATTCAATGGAAAAGAAAGCACGACCTTCCACCCTGAAAGGCCTCTTCTAGGAACTCAGCCTCATCCAGGATTGCCTCAAATTTTGCAAATTCATTTCAAATAATATAATATATATATATGCACACAATTAATTAATTTATATACATATATATATATACTACTGGCAGATGACTTAGGCCCAAGAGGGCCCAATGACATAAGAACAACTATATGAAAGTGGTCTAAGTCATGTGGTGTTTACCAGACCAAGGGGATGTTTGCTCATGACATAGGACTCGGCATTTTGAGGGTATGTGCGACGGTGACTAAGTCATCAAGTCATCTGCAAGTAGTATAAATAAAAAGAAAAAACACACTCATCGCAATGAAAGAGCAAAGGTCAAACTCGAGCAAAACGCGCATCTCATCCACTGTAGCGCCCTACCATCTGCCGAAGAATGTTGGCCCGCTGCAGAATCTGCAAGTCCTCATCATGCAGCATGAAGAAGCTTCACTGCTGTACTGCATGCTGGGCCGGCCTGCTTGGGAGTTTCAACTTCTTTGAGAAAAAATATTGGTCAACTACATTCAACATCATTCAACTGACTACAGATCTAGACTCATGATGACTCATGCAACGTTAATCAATGTGATAAATGTCAATCATTCCAAATCAGGAGTGGGCGCAATTTTTGCTAAATCGGCCTTCCATTGGTCGGCAAGATCACTCCCCAAAGCCTCCTCCTCAACGGCAATCACAGCCACAAGAAGAACAAGGCCCACCCAAGGGCTGAGGGCTGGACCCACCGCACCGACCTGGCGAAAGTTGGCGAATGCAGTATCTGCAGTCTGAAAAATCGAGCAGAATCGCTGGGTTGGAATGGATGTCAAGGGTTGGGTCGAGCCCCTTATCATTGTTCATCATCATTTATACATATTTAATCATATTTATACATGGTATTACATGGTTCATCTTCCATCGTATCCCCGCCTCAGGTGCACATCTCTCAGGTCTTCTGGCTCAACTTGAGGGGCCATGGACAGGAAGAGGCAATTTCCGCCAGCACCTCAGCGCTGAAATCTGGCAGTGGTGGAAGCATTGACCAAATGAAAATCCGAGGTGCAGATTTGTTCTCAGCATGTGGAAATGACAGTACACGTATTACACTTTCATATAGCTGTATATATTCAGTCTGCGTGCTGTTGTACGTGTAGCTTGCGAGTTTGCGTACGTGCGCAATTGACCGCATCGAGCCTCTGACCCTTGTCCTGTGGATACCATCCGTGCCGCTCCAGGATGTTGTTCAAGATCTCCTGACCAAGCAGCCGGGATTCGAGGGACCATCTCCCCAGGAATCATATCCCAAAAACTCACCCCTCTTGCCATGTTGGTTTTAATGTATATATTAATATATATATAATATAAATTATATTATATTATATTATATTATATATATATTATATATACGTATATATCAATGGGATTCAATGGGCTCACGCTGGGTTGGGATGCATCAGCCCAGCTGGCATGTGCAAAGAGATGCAAAGAGATGCAAAGAGTGCCAATTTCATGTTTCAATACTTTCGTTTTCCTTGCCAGCTTAGCCCTCTTTCCAATGTTTGACCTTCGTGTTTGAGATGATTGACATGCGTCTGGCTTGTGGGTGGGAAGGCCCTTCAAATCCATCGTCTCCATGTCATTCATCCTTTGGCCGCTGTACACCTGACGCATGTTCTGAAACACCAGGGAATTGCTAAAATTGATTGGCCCCGAAAAATGGCTGAGTAGATGCTAAAAATTGACCTATTTTCTTTGTCGATGACTGCCTCGATTGTTTGAGTCATACCGGCCATACCCACCTCTGGTGCCTACCAAACTCTTGGAATACTCTTGGACTCACCGTGCCTCCGCAAACTCTTGGTGTGGCTCTGCCACACACGCGGGAACCTGAACCTGGGCAGCCACTGGGCCGATGTACTCAAAACACGTCGAAGCGTCTGAAGCAAAAAGAACATGCAGCAACTAAACTATGTAATTACTAGTAGTGCACATTTTATTCATGTTTATTTATATTCTTTATATTTGTGCATTGTGTATATATCATGTGTATATATATATATACACATACTGTGCGTGTGTGTCTGTTTGTGTGTGCGAGTGAGCAAATCACAGCAGATCAGTAAATGTCACTGGGTTTTCGGCGATTCCGCGCGTCCTCTTGGATCGGTGGTGGCGCCAGCCCTTGACAGTCATGGCATGTCAGGGCCATAGCTGCTATGCCATAGCTCAACCAACCGTGCTAGTAGGATGTGCTAGTCGTGCTTGCATGTGCTCGCTGAGATTCCTGCGCTGAGGCGTCCTATGGCACAGAATCGTCAACATAAACATCATAAACACACGCAACTCCCCTTTTTGACACGCATTTCGCAGCTCGAACACCTTTCACATCCTTTCACCATCTTTCACTATCTTTCACCATGTTTCCATCGTTTGCAATGGCTTCCAACGTGTGGTAGTGAGAAGGGAAGCCAACTCGTGTCCTGCCGACAGAACTAGAAGAACTGCGCCAGCTGATCTTCGCAGCGCCTTGCAGTCCTGACCGATTCCATCCAATTCCTATCCATTTCTGACCTGTTCCCGTTGGCAAACGACTGGAATCAATGCCAAGCACCAGACTGGAAGCCCCAAATCAGTCCAAGCACCGGGCCTGCAACTTGGCACACTGAATCTGTAACTAGACGGAGATGGTGGCAGGGGCAAATTCTTACTGCACGTAGAGGTAGACTTCAATACATTTCCCACAGGATGCAGAACAGGAGATAACAGTTTTGGGCTGCCTTCCGATCTGTTGAGACTGGACTCTCAATGGCTCTGACGGCCGAGGGTAGGCCTCGCATTAAATCACAGAACATCACAGAACTTCTGTTCAAGCAGCAATACAATGCCCCTCCTCCAATATCCTCCAATGTCAACATGAAGTGTCTGCTAGAGTTCACAGACTATTGGCGACATCATACGTGGCAGAAACAGTGATGCGCGTAACTGGCTTTGTCCGACCTTTCCTCAGTGCCGGCGACCCAGGCTAAGGTTCGAACTACTGGTTCCATCGCCGGCAAGCCCAAGTCCGGTGCTTACTTTGGAACAGTTGCATGATGTACTGACGACTTGTACTGTAGGTGGCTGTAGGGTACTGTGGGGGGTGATTCTAAAACACTGTCTTGTGGATACAATAATACCCTAGCATACCCTGGCATCTCACTTCCCCTTCCATGGCTACTGTGTCACGTCGTGTTACGTGTAGCGGACAACTTCGAATTAAATTGCTCAATGCGGCAGGCAAAAAATGAATTACTCACGGCAAAAATAAGAACGTATTATCGTATTATCCTCAAGATGCCTGATATTAGCCCAATGTGGGTGGCTGTTGTTTGTACCTCTCATCTTTCCAACGTGTTGCTTCCAGTCGCTGCAAGTCCTGCTGGCACATGTTTGCACATCTCTTTTCCGAAATCACCAGCTGTCCACGTCATTACCGCAGATTGAGCTATTCTCACTGGATGCTTCCGTGCCACGTTCCATCTAACGTGTTCAGTGACATTCTTCCCTGCGACTCAGTGCGACTGGGCAGCTCAAGGGCTCACGCGTCCTCCTCCTGGCGTTTTTGAGGAGTCAGACCACCGAACGGAAACTCTGCCCTGAGGATTGATAGGTGTGGTGCTCAGGGCAAAAAATGTTAAAAACACTAGTTCAAAGAAATTTTATAAATTCAAATTATAGCAGTATAACAACTCAATAATTATTTGCAAAAAAAACATAACAACTAACCACAATTACCTCATTCATTCCACAAAATCATCACTACTAACCATATCATCATCTCATTCATTTTCATAAATCAAAACAACCTACAATCTCTATACCTCATCCATTTTATAGAAATCATCACAGTCAACACATCATCACCTCATCCATTCCATACCCAAAACAAAACAACCAAACAACAAACAAAAAAAAACAAACCAAGCAAAGCGCAACATAAAAAACAAAACAATAGACAACAATACAGATACTTCCTTAGTCTTTAATAATCCTATCTTACAAACCCATAACTCTAATAATATTATCATTAAAATTATGTAAGTAGTAAATGACTTCAATAATTACTAATTCAAAATGAAATGCTTGTATCCTATTATACTATCTTTATCATTGTCTTCATCTATATCTTCCTGTATTTCTTCAACTGCTTTATCTAATACATAATCTATATTTTTTATCTACATATTCATCAAAGCCATACATAAAATAAATCTCTCTATAACTAAATTCATTTTCTCCATATTCCTTTTCTGGGAGTTTTGCCACTAATTGAACTTCAATATCAAGTTTAACTCTATAATTTACATCATCTTCTACTTCTTCATAAATTAAAGATAATAATTCTTCTTTTTCTTCTGTTATTATGTCTTCTATACTTTTTAAACTAAATGGCACTCCCTCTCTCATAATACAGTATTCAATGATATATATTTTTTTTCTTGATTTCAAATGTCTTGTTATTTTAGGACCAAGTCTTGATATTTTATATTGTGCTGTATTCTCTTCAATGCTTCACTATACTTTACTTTCAAATATTTCGGGTCTCCAATTTTTTCCGAATCAATTTTACTCAACACATCAACAGGTAAATCCTTCACACAATCCATCCCACTAATATACTTAAATAACTATTCTTTAAGTATATATTCTATGATTAAAATAAAGCATTCTTTTGAAAACTACTTAAAGATAAATTAACCAAATAAAATATATACTATTATATGATGGAAAAAGTTATAGACTATTTATTGAGTAATGATTTAGCAGAAATACCAAAGAGAGGAAGGAAAGAATTGAAGTCCATAATCATAGACAACAGGAAATTCAGATACAACAAAGACAAACCCATATCAAATGTCTTGACCAAGAAACTACTATCAGTAAAGAACACTAATGAATACAGAAGTTATGCTATGAAAAAGGCAACAGATGTTGTAAGTAGAGAAAGGGTTAGACAATTAATAACCAAACACGCAATAAGAAATAAATTTAGGGTCAGAGATATTCAGTCAGCATTTAGAAAATATGCTAATTCAATAGTTTTAGAAAACAAGCACTTTCAAGGAGAAAGAGGATTAGAAATGATTGCTCACCAAAAGCAAAGACTATCAGAATGTTTAAGCAATAATAGAAACATGAAACTTAACATAAGAACGGAAGGATTATTTGAAAAACCTGAATATGATGATGGAGGAAATGAATTAGGAAGTCAAGAACTTGTATATGCTTTACCATCAACATATCATCCAATTCACAATGAATATGAACTGACACAAGCATTAGAAGATAGTGTTATTCAAATCCGATTACAAATACAAAATCCGCCGACCCCGGCCTTCGCCAAGGCAGGGGCGGCGCCTGGGACCACCGGAGGTGTGGAACCTGCTTTGTCACGGCCATGGCCTTCACATTGTCCAAGGCCCTGTGGCCGTCAGCCTCTGCTGTTCCAGCGTTGCAGCCTGCCGTTTGCCTCACATAGCCTCTGTTGTTAGGGCGTTCAAGCCTGCCGTTTGCCAGCCTTCAAACCCTTAAAATGCCTCGCCGGCCGCTTGCCTGCATAGCTCTCTCTTGTTAGGGCGTCCATGCCTATAGGGCGCCTCGCGGCAGCTTCCTCGCGGCAGCTTCCACCAAGCCCTGTAGCCGTCAGCCTCTGCTGTTCCAGCGTTGCAGCCTGCCGTTTGCCTGCACATAGCCTCTGTTGTTAGGGCGTTCAAGCCTGCCGTTTGCCAGCCTTCAAACCCTTAAAATGCCTCGCCGGCCGTTTGCCTGCATAGCTCTCTCTTGTTAGGGCGTCCATGCCTAGGGCGCCTCGCGGCAGCTTCCTCGCGGCAGCTTCCACCAAGCTTTGTGGCCGTCAGCCCTTGCTGGTCAGCCGTTGCTGTTCCAGCGTTGCAACCTGCTGTTTGCCTGCACATAGCGTCTGTTGTTACGGCGAGCCTTCAAACCTACAATGCTTAAAATGCTCCGCCGGCCGGTTGCACCAAGCCCTGTAGCCGTCAGCCTCTGCTGTTCCAGCGTTGCAGCCTGCCGTTTGCCTGCACATAGCCTCTGTTGTTAGGGCGTTCAAGCCTGCCGTTTGCCAGCCTTCAAACCCTTAAAATGCCTCGCCGGCCGTTTGCCTGCATAGCGCTCTGTTGTTAGGGCGTCCATGCCTAGGGCGCCTCGCGGCAGCTTCCTCGCGGCAGCTTCCTGTTGTTAGGGCGTCCATGCCTCGGGCGCCTCGCGGCAGCTTCCTCGCGGCAGCTTCCACCAAGCTTTGTGCCGCCAAGCCCTGTAGCCGTCAGCCCCTGCTGTTCCAGCGTTGCAGCCTGCCGTTTGCCTGTACATAGCCTCTGTTCTTAGGGCGTTCAAGCCTGCCGTTTGCCAGCCTTCAAACCCTTAAAATGCCTCGCCGGCCGTTTGCCTGCATAGCTCTCTCTTGTTAGGGCGTCCATGCCTATAGGGCGCCTCGCGGCAGCTTCCTCGCGGCAGCTTCCACCAAGCCCTGTAGCCGTCAGCCTCTGCTGTTCCAGCGTTGCAGCCTGCCGTTTGCCTCACATAGCCTCTGTTGTTAGGGCGTTCAAGCCTGCCGTTTACCAGCCTTCAAACCCTTAAAATGCCTCGCC